GAGAGAGACATAGAGGTAGAAAGTGAGAAATCACCCCCCAGAGGGGATGGTCACGCCGCAATCCCTTCTCCTCCATTCTCCTCTCGGGATTTTGGGCACGCACGCACATGCGCCTGGTGTGAGTTTTAAGCCACTGGGTCTGGGATGCGAACCGCGGTCGACTACGTGGGAGTCCAGCGACATAGCCATTACGCTAACTACTGGTTACTGGTTCCCGTGTGTCTAAGATCTCAAGAGGAGAATGGAGGAGAAGGGACTGCATCACGGTCATCCCCTCTAGGGAGTGATTTCTTGCTTCCTGTCTCTTTGTCTCTCTGGTGAGTGCATGTGCCCTATAGCAAAAATCTCTCTTAAAAGAAAAAAAGAAATAGTTTGAGTAGAATGGGGGTTTGTAGAATTCAGAAGTGAAACCATCATGACCTGGACTTTTCTTTCTTGGGAGGTTATTTATTCTAATTCAGTTTCATTGCTTGTTATTGCTCTATTTCGATTTTCTATGCCTTTTTGATTCAGTCTTGGTAGATTACATGTGTCCAGAAATTTGTCTGTCACATCCAGGTTTTTTTTTGTTGTTGGCATATAGTTGCTCATAGTATTCTTTAATGATCTTTTGTATTTCTGTTCTATCTGTTGTGTCATTGCCTATTCCATTGCAAATTTAATTTATCTGGTTCTTTTCTCTCTTCTTAATTAGTCTAGCTAGCAGTGCATCAATTTTCTTTATCCTCTCAAAGAGACAGCTTTGGGTTTTATTTATTTTCTGTATAGTCTGTTTATTCTCTGTTTAATGTATTTCCGCTCTTATGTTGATTCTATTTGGGGTCTCTTGTATTTCTTGGATCTGGATGTTTTAATGCTTCGCTAGATTTGGGAAGTTTTATGCAAGTATTTTATGGAATAGATCTTCTATGCCTTTTTCTGATTCTTCACCTTCTGGAATACCTATTATTTGGGTGTTTAATAGTGTCTAGTATTTCTCGTATGTTGTCTTCATTATTATTTTTCATTACTTTTAGTGATTTTATCTAAGTCAAAGATTTTTTCTCCCAACTCAGAGATTCCATCTTCTGCATGTTCCAATATACTATTAATACTTTCAGGGGAGGTCTTGATTTCCTTTATTACTAGCTTCATCTCTAGAAGTTTTGACTAGTTCTTTTTTATAGTGTCTATCTCCTACTTCAAATCCTGGAAATACTTCATCATTTCTGTCACCATAAATAGTCTGAATTCTTTTTCTGTTATTGCTTCAAATTATTTCATGCTATCTATGGTAGAAGTAGAGTTCCTTTTTTTTTTTCATTGAGGGAGAGTTGTTTTCTTGTTTTCCCGTATTTCTTGTGCCTCTGTGCTGGTTTCTAGTCATCTGATGAAATTATATACTTTTTCCTGCTTTTCTGGTGTCAATTCTATAGCATAGGGGGAAGGAAGAACTCTACATCTCAGATATGAGCTTGGTAGAGAGCTTTGTTTTCCAATCAGGGGAGTATGCATATAGCCAACTTTAGGTGTTGGTACCTTTCCCATTCTCTTGGGACAAGGTATACCTGGAAATGAATTTTAGGCAAGAAATCTTCACTGTGGTAGTATTTATAATAAAGAAAAGTGAAGATTCCATTATATATTTTAGTAGGGGTATAATGTTTTTATTTCCCTTGAGTATATACCTAAAAATGGAAATGCTGGAATATGGCAACTCTGTTTAATTTTTCCAAGGACTACCACACTGTCTTAAGTGGCCACAGTGTTTTACATTTACACCAGCAATGTATGAAGAGTTCCAATGTCTCCACATCTTTGCCACCACCTGGTATCATTTATTGTTTCAATTTTAGCCATTCCAGTGGATGTAAAATTATATCTCATTTGATTTTGATTTTAATTTTCTTCATAGCTAATGTTGTTAAACATCTTTTCAAACACTTATTGGACATTTGTGCATCTTCTTTGAAGAAATGTCTATTGAAGTATTTTGCTCATTTTTAAGTTAGTTTTCTCTTATTTACTTGGAAGAGTTCCTTATGTATTCTGGATTTGAATCCCTTATTAGATATATGATTTATAGATATTTTCTCCCATTCTGTATGTTATCTTTTTCTTTTCTTAGTTGGAAGTTCTAAAGTTTTTTATATTTTTAAAAAGTTTATTTTATTCATGATAGTGAATGCATGCATTCCTGAGAGAGAGAGAGAGAGAGAGACACTTGGCGGGATTTCATCATGCCATGATCCTCTTTATGGGCCTTGCAGCTCATCAAGATCTTTGGAATGTGTTCATGAACCCAGCATGTTTGCCAGCAACCCAGAGATCTGAACCTGCAGTCAGCCATGTGGTTCTGGTATGGCATTTGAGTTTGCTACTGACTGCATCACCAGGCTGGATCAAAGTTCTTAATTTTGCTGAAATCTAATTTACTAGTTTCTTTTTTCTTTTGTTACTTATACTTCAGTATCATATCTAAGAAATTATTGGCTAATATGAGGTCATAAAAACTTATGTGTGTGTTTTCTTCTAAGACCTTAATTATTATAAGGTCTTAAGTCTTTGATTCATTTTGAGTTAATTTGTGTATACTGTGTAATATAGAGATTCAATTTTGTCATTTTTTCTTGTAGATAAATAGTTTTTGAGTGTTCTTTGTTGAAAAGACGGTATTTTAATCCAATTTTCTTAATGTCCTTGTTGAAAATCAACTGCCCATAAATGTCTGAATCAGTTTCTGGACACTTAATTTTATTCCACTGATGTATATGTCTTTTTTTTTTCTTTTTATAGGTTTTTGCCATAAGGCACATGTGCTCCCTGGAGAAAGACAGAGAAGGACAGAAGGAAATCACCCCTCAGGGGGATGGCCATCTCTCAATCTCTTCTCCTCCATTCTCCTCCTGGGATTTTGGGCAAACACATACACATGCCCAGTGTGATTTTCAAGCCACTGGGTCTAGGACCCATGCTTGACCATAGGAGAGTCCAACACTTTAACCACAGTGCCACCTGCTGGTCCTTATATGTCTGTTCTTATTGCTAGTACTGTATCATGTTGATTGCTGTAACTTTCTAGTAAAATTTTAAGTGGAAAAGTCTGTTCTTCAAGGTTGCTTTAGCTACTTTGTATTCCTTGCATTTTTGTATACATTTTAAAATGAGCTTGTCAGTTTCTACAAGGAAATCAGCTGGCATTTTCATAGGGATTGTGCTGAATCTCTTCATCAGTTTGGAGAGTGTTGCCATCTTAATAGTGTTAAGTTTTCTAATCCATGAACATGGGATGTCTTCTTTTAACAAGGAAATTTTATGACTTAATGTACAAATCTTGTATTTGTTTTGTTATATTTATTCATAAGTATTCTTTTTTGTCCCATTATAAGTTGTTTTCTCAATTTCATTTCAGAATTGTTCATTGCTGTTTTATAGAAATATAGTGAACTGAGGTCAGCAGGTGGCATGGTGGTTGAGTTACTGGACTCCCACATGTCCAACTGCAGTTTGAGTCCCAGACCTAGCAGCTTGCCTTATCTCTCTCGTGTGCACGTGCCCTGTAGCAAGTTACAAAATAATAATAATGATAAATAAATTTTAAAAAGTAATTAAAAAAAAGAAATGTAGTGGTCTTTTAAATATTGATCCTGTATTCTATAAGCTTGTTAAACTTGCTTATTCTAATCGTTGTGGTTGTGTGTGTGTGTGTGATTTGTTATGTTTTCTACATATGAGAGCATGTTATTTGTACAGATAGATAGTTTTTCTTTTCCTTACTAATCTGGATGCCTTTTATTTCTTTTTCTTGTCTAGTTGCCTTGATTGGGACCTCTACTACAATATTGAATAGAAGTGACACAAGCAAAATCCTTGTCTCTTTCTTGTCTTATGGGTTGAACATTTACTACTTAACCATTTAATATTATTTTAGCAGTGGGTTTTTCTTAAATTTCTTTTTTTAAAAATTTTTAATTGCTAGTTGGCACATGAACTCACCAAAGAGAGAAAAAGAGAGTGAGCATGCAAGATAGCACAAGCATCCCTCAATAGGTGCCTGGCATATTTTTCGAACTGCAGAATTCAAATTGTGGCAGGCCATGTGGGATCTAGCTCCATATGTACAGGACTTAATTAAGGGGCTAGACTGACCTCCATAATTATTCCTTTTTTGTTTGTTTCTGTATTTGTTTTTGCTTTTGGTTGGGTGCACTTGTGGGAGAGAGACATAGACATAAGGAAAGGAGAAATCAGCCCCAAGGGATAATGGCCAGGCCACAGTCCCTTTTCCTTCATTCTTTTTTTTGGATTTTGGGCAGTACACACACATGCCACTGGGTCTGGGACTTGAACCACAGTCAGCCATGTGGGAATCCAGCACCTCACACACCATATCACCTGCTGACCTGGATTTTTTTTAATTAATCAATAATGCATTTTAAGTTTTGTTAAATATTTTGTGTGCAGTGATTATTATTTTCTTCTATTTTACTAATGTGGTTTGTATTATGATGATTAATGTTCAGATATTAACCACCTTAACATTCCTGAGAAAAATCTATTTTAACTTTGGTATAGAAGTTTTTTTGGTTCTGTATTTGGTTTGCTAGTATTTTTTTGAGGATTTTTGAGTCTTTGTTTATAAAAGATATTGGTGTATAGTTTTTTGTGATAGCTGTACCTGGTATTGGTGTCAATATGATACTAGTTACATGGAATTATTTGAGAAATTTTTCTTAAGCTTCTATTTTCTTATTAAGAATTTGTGAGGAATCAGTATTAATCCTTCTGTACATATTGGTAGCATGTACCGGGGAAGTCATCTGGGCCTGTGCTTTGCTTGGTAGGTAGTTTTCAAGTTAATCATTGAATGCAGTATTTTGATTAAGGATAATTGTGATTGAGCATTCACTGCACAAATGCCTGTTCATATTTTATTCTTCATCCACCTTTCCCCTAGGTAATATACAAATAAAAAGAAATTTTTCTTATATCTAATCATATTTTTTTTTCTTTTCTTAAAGGTTTATAGTTACTCTGGAATCAGTAGGCCATGGCATCCCAGAAATTTGCTATTAAAGTAAGTAATCTTACTAGCTTTCTTGAATATGGTTAATCAGTTTCTAATAAAAACAAGTTCTGTGTTAATTGAAAATTGAAGTTCTGAACTTTCTATTCTTTACATTTGAGTCTCTGAAAATTTTTAATAGGCACATTGACCATTTATTAATTTTTTATTAAGTTTTTCCTATAGAGTGTGTGTGCTCACCAGGAAGACAGAGAGAGACAGAGAGACAGAAAGCGAGAAATCACACCCCAGAGATGATGGCCACACTGCAATCCCTTCTCCTCTCGGGATCTTGGGCATGCACACATATGCGCCTGGTGTGAGTTTAAGCCACCAGGTCTGGGACTCCAACCACGGTTGACTACATGGGAGTCCTGTGACATAGCCATTACACCAACTGCTGGTCCTGACTATTTATATTTTAAGGATGAGATGGAGGAAAAAACTAGTAGTTAATACAGTTATGAAGATTTCCTTAGTCTTTTGTAAGACACTTTTTAGTTATAACGTGATCTTAACATTAAAAATCTTCATTCACATTGTATGTCTATGGCATGATTCTGATTATTACAAGGAGGACAGAAGGTCAAAGAAAAAGAAGCAGGTAGCAAGGGCTGCATCTTGGTGCATGTCAAGGGAGGGTTTTCTTCCCTTCCCTCTTTCATTGTCTTCTTACAAATTTCTCTTCTCTATCCGTTGATGGCTGGGTCTAGGACCTTCTTGATGTAAAGGGTTGTGAGGATCATATGTGAGAGATACTGAGAGGAGAGGGAAGAGCTAATAAATAGTGAGTATAGGATCTTTGAGGTGCTTTCATGTATGCTGGCCATTTTTAGGATAGTTCCTGTATGCTAGTGTTATCTTAAATACCAGTTCAGAACATCAGATTATAAATCACAGTAGTTACTTGATCGGATTTGAGATTGTTTAATATTGTAATTTTGTCTTATTTTTAACCAAGTTGGTGCTTATTTAGATTTACTGACAAATTTATAAATTGTATTGTTTACCCATATGTTCTTTAATATTCCGCTCTGTGAGGATGTATAAGTAGCAAACTTTTATTTGTCTGTCTAAAATGTACTTTGGTTATACACTAGAAAGACATTTAGTTTGTTTTAGAATTTTAGGGTGAGGATTATTTCCCCTGAGCACTTAAAGTTTTTTTTTTGTTTTCATTGTCTTTTGGTATCTATTATTGCTATCAAGAAATGTTTTATTGGATCACTGGGATAGTCGTGATGCATTGTTGCATAGGAAAACACAAAAAATACATTAGGACTTTCCCAATGACCCAGTAGTTACCTATTGATGGTTTAAAATGACCTCAAAACTTAGTAACTAAAAACATCAACCATTTCATTCTCTCTCATGATTCGTTAGGTTGCCTGGTATCAAGTGTTTGGTTTCTTTTCTTGCTGTTGGCTGGAGCTGCAGTTACCTAGGCCTATAGTTAAAGGAAGCTGCAACTCTTGATGTAAGAAGCAGCATGTGTTCATAGAGAAGGGGAGATTGGTAGGGTATATCTATGGGGTCTGGTCACCAGAGAAGTCTGCTGTTGCCCTAAAGTAATTTCTTTCTTAATTATCTGTCTTTTTTCTCTGGTTTCTTTTTTAAGTTTTTGTCTTTGTCGTTATACAGTTAATTTTACTATGAAACCTCTTGGTATAGACTTCTTTTTATTTTCTTGGCCTGGGGTACAATGTATGTCTTCAGTTTGAATACTCAAATCTTATATCAATTTGGAAAATTCTCTTTTGGTATTGCTTCTTCTAATTCTCCTGGAACCTTTTTTTTTTTTTTTCTTTTGAGTTTTGTTAGAGGGCACATGTACTTGTAAGGAAGAGAGTGAGACAGAAAAATGAAAGTGAGAAATCACCCCTCCTGGAGGGATGGCCACACTGTAATCCCTTCTCCTCCTCCATTTCCTTCTCGAGAATTCAAGACATGCATGCACACTCACATGGCATGTTTCTCAACCCTCCGGGTCCAGCACTCAAACTATGTAGTAAACCATGTGAGATCCAGCTGCCTCAATGTCTCCTACAACTATTATTCATAATTTGTTGAATAGTCTCATATGACTCTATCTTATAAGCTGGAGGAGTGAGAATAACTTGTCAAAGACTGAACCCTTCCAGGCTATCTGCTAGAGAAGACCTGTGCCTCTTGGAAAGCTCTTTTGAAAGTGGCTGTGGCCTAGTAGGGCAGACAATCCTGCTTAAACACAAAACGTAGACTTCAGACCTTTAATTATGCCAGAGATGAATCTGTCAATTTCCAAGCTGTACATACTGAAATGGCAGATTTTGATACCATACTGCAGGTTGTATCTGCATGTCCTGAACTTAGCTTGCAGATCCTGGAAGGCAGAGGAGTTACCCCATCCATGAGTATCAAGCTACTAGGATAAGATTAGAGACGAAGTTCTGAAACATATTGCAGGTTCTGCACATCACTATGTGATTTTTTATCCCTGCCTCAAAAAGGATCATATAGGCAAAGAGTCAGTGCTTCCTCAATCGTATAACTTATAAGTTCAATGACCCAAGCATTGGGATCCCTTTCTACATGTCTGGTATTAAGCCCCACCAGTTTTGTGTACTTCCCAAGTGACAGCAGGAGACCTGCACACTTGCTACTGTTGTCACCACATCCTTTCTCCAGTGAATGCTCCCGTAGTCTTCTGTGAGTGCTTCATGACTAATTGCCCTTTCCTCTTTTCTTCTCCTATTTTTCTATGTTCTGTTCAGTGTCCATTATAATCAGACATCTTCTGGTTCACTGAAATCTCTTTGTCTCTGTTTAACTTCTTAACTTGTTTTAGTGACAGCATATTTTATTTCAGAAGTTGTTTTTGGTTATTTTCTTTTTGTTTAAATAATTATTTAATTTAATTAATTTATTTTAATTTGACCAGAGAGGTACAGAATAAGAGCGAGTGAGAGAGATGAAAAGTGAGAAAGCAAGCCACCAGGTCCAGGACTTGGACTGTGGTCAGACCAGTGCCCGTAGCCACCATGCCACCTGCTGGCCCCCATTTTTGGTCAGCTTTTTTTGGAGAGGCTTTTGCTACAGGGCACATGTACTCACTAGACAGACAGAGAGAGAGACAGAACGTGAGAAGTCACCCCCCAAGGGGGATGGCCACACCGCAGTCCCTTCTCCTCCTTTCTCCTCTTGAGATCTTGGGCACGCATGCACACGTGCCTGGCGTGAGTTTTAAGCCACCAGGTCCAGGACTCGAACTGCGGTCAATTACATGGGAGTCTAGCGACATAGCCATTATGCTAACTACTGGTCCCTCAGTTTTTAAAAATTCAGTCTGCTAGTTCAATTTTTACATAGTTGCCCTATTACTTTTTTCAATATGTTTCCATTTCCTCCTTTTTTCCCTTTAATAATTTTAAAGTAACTTATTTTATAGTTTCTTTGAGATGGTTCTATTATTTACTCCATGCTTGCTTTACTAAATATGGAGTAAACAGATCATTGAAATTGCTGCATTGTTTCTGTGTTATAAGTTTTGATTATGCATTCTTTTTCAATGACAGTCTACACACACACACACACACACACACACACACAAACACACACACACATACACAGATGGAAAAACCTGTGAGCCCTGCAAAGCAGTTGAGTAGTTTCAAGTTTATTTCTACTGGAGTCATTGCTATTTCACTGGCTTAGGACCAGATTTGATATTAATTTCATGGCTTGGGGTCCCACCACCTGGTGGGTAATATAACTTTAAAACCCGCAACAGAGTCTGGCACAAACTTGGCCTTTTTTGTTTGTTTGTTTTGCAAAACTCTTCCTCACTTACTTGCTGTTCTTCCATTTCTGTCTGCTCCCTCCTTAAGATACTTGAAGGGGTGGCAATTTTCCATGTTGTTTCTCTTGGTCAGTGAGCAGAGAATTTTTTTAGTTGTATTTTCAAAGGAATTAAGTAGAAAGATCTATTCAGTAGCTCCTACCCTAAGAAATTTATATTCATATGAACCAGAAAGTATTATATAAGTGTATCTATCTATTAAGCATTGTATTACATTTAGAGGGTACAAACAGCTATCTGGGCTTAGCTGTAATGACTTTATTCTCAACTTCCTTTTCTCTTCTGTACTCTAGCACATTAGTATCCCAACTCTCAGCTTTTCTGCTTCTGTTAATTTGGTTCCAGATATTCTGACAGTCAAACTTGGAATCTTCCAAAGGGTTGATTATTGATTAGTATGGCTTGTGGTTTATTAATTTTATTAGTTATTTCGAAGAACCAATTTCTGATTTTGATTTTTTTTGTAGTATATTTGTTTCCTACTTCATTGATTTCTTATCTTTATTATTTCATTCCTACTTTCTTTGGGTAAATTGGCTCTTTTCTTTTTTTTCCAGTTTCTTAAGGAGGAAACTTATATCATTGATTTCAAGCTGCCTTCTTTTCTAATATGTACATTTAAAGCTATAAATTTCTGAATATTTCCTGCTTTAACTGTATCCCTCATATTTTGATAGGGATACAGTTAAGGTAAGGATTTTGTTATTCTAATTTTCATTGTGCTTTCATTTTTGATACATGAGTTATTAAGTACATAGTGTATATCTTCTAAGTATTTGTGATTTTTCTAAAAATCATTTTGTTATTGGCTTTAAGCAAAGTTTCTCTGTTTTGGTAAATGTTTCATAAGTACTTGAACAATGCGATGATTATCAATTGTGAAATACTTATCAAATTAGGTTTGTTTACTGTGCTGTAAAATTCAGATGTATTGCTAATATTTTTATCTGCTTGTTCTATCAGTTGAATCAAATTAGGTTTGTTTACTGTGCTGTAAATGTCAGATGTATTACTAATATTTTTATCTACTTGTTCTATCAGTTAAGAGAGGCATATTAAAAACTCTACTTATGATTTTAAATTTATATAATTCTATTTTTAGTTTTATCAACTTTTACTTTATGTATATGTTCTGAGGCTATAGATGTGTACAAATTTCTGTTACTATATCTAT